TATTTAAACATAAAAACAGCATTTTAATGACAACTAAAGGTGACATAGATACTTTATTATGATATAGTATTTAAATGTACTGTATGCCTGAGAAACACAGAATACTGGCCCTTTAAGCCATCAAAATACACAGCAGTTTGGACGAGCACAAAAATTGGCAATTTTGTTCAGTTCGGACTCAGAAGTTTGTTATGTTTTGATGACCAAACAGCAGCACCAAGTCTGCTGGTGAAGAAAAAAAAAGCTGATGTCAGGTGCTGGAGGCAAATAAAAGAAAGTTCAGCTGACTTCTATTCAAGCACTTCTAATCTTCGCTTCAATTTCTTCTAAATCTATTGTTTTGTGTCATAATAATTAGACCCCTTCACAAATTTCTACCAACTTCCACTGAAAGCTGTGGTGATGCACTTAAAGCACATATGAATACCGAACCACACAAAGACACAGAGACGCACACAAACTCACACATGCGCGCACACACAAGGGCCGGTCGAGGCTGTTGGCGCTCGCTTTTATAAATAATGGAGCTATTGAGGCGTTGAGACAGGAGAGCTCTCATAAGCTCATGGCTGCCAGACCACAACACAAGAGGACAGAGCTGAACGGAGACACAAACTCCCTCATACCCTGCAGAAAGTAAACACACTCAGAATGAATGGACAAAAGTGCACATGCAAGTGCTGGACAGAACACAACCTCCCACCTTCTGTTTGCAAGAGGCCTGGAGATCTTTTATATGTGGCCTGCGAAGGTTCGATGTAAACATACACAACCACCCCCCCACCCCCCACAAAAAAAGTATAACGTGCACAATCAACCGTCTGTGTGTGAAGCAGGGAGAAAGAGACACTGTGTGTTTAAGTGTGATCAGGACTCTGCGCTGCAGCTGAGAAGATGCTGCAGTGTTTTTCCAGGGGAAGGACGTCAGCGCTCTCGTCAGCTGCAGCTCCAGGACTCACGAACAGAAACATGCGGTAGCGTGACTCGCATCACAGCTCCTTGGAGTGACGGGGCAGCAATGAAATGGATGCAGTAAAACAAACTGATTGTCCCCCTGCATGCCTCCGAGCTTTGCATGAGCGCTGCAGCGTCTGAAGATTGGACGTGCCATCATTAGTCAAAGACATCGGGCCTCATGCAAGAACGTTCGTATTCTTATCCTAAAYTTCTCTTACTTTTGTTTGTATGAAGGGTTTGTACGAACATGCCATGTCAGATTCAACAAACTCTTCTATCTTCAGGAAAAGGGTGTAAATGTGCTGCGTAAACATGATGATTTACACCTGTTCGTATCCAGCTGCTCGTGCACGCGAGAGGAGATTAGCAAAATTACCACCACAAAAGCACCATATAAGGCTTTGTTTCCTGCCTCAGATACAAGGAAGTGTCCATTCATGAAAATGACAGCGAAAACTAAAAAGAAGAACTTTACAATTCAGAGATTGAAGTCCGTCTGTCGGAGATCCAGAAAAGAAAATCTGTCATTTTTAGCAGGTCAGCTGTGGAATAAAAAGAGCTGCTAAAAGTATAAACAACTGTGTTAAATCATTTTAATTTATTCAGAAGCCACACCGTCACGCACCGTAGCCCCACCACCACAACAACCACCACCACCACCCCCGCGCCGCACGGTCGCAAGTGGTCTCAGTTGCAGTTCTGAAATAAGCATTTTAAAATGTTTTCAAAATATGTCTGGCACTTTGGAGAAAATCCAGGACTCGCTGGAGGGATTGTGTATCCCCTCTGGCCTGGGAACGTCTCGGAGTCCCCCAGGACAAGCTGGAAGGTGTCGCTGGGGAGAGGGATGTCTGGGTCTCTCTGCTGCTGCTCCCGCGACCCGATCCAGGATAAGCGGCAGAAAACGGACGGACAATTTATTTTGTTAGTCTAAATTATTACATTTAAAATTATAACTCTGATTCAAGCAGAATAGCCTCTTGTCAAGATAATCATTGAGTGTGATTTATTTTCAACTCAAAATATCTTCAAACTAATGAAATATAAAGTTATTAGGGTGAAAAATCAGTCTGGATAACAGCAGACTGACTGCTCGTAAAATATACGACAGGTCTGGACCACTCGTGAATTTTGTTCGTATCTGAAAAAAATCTTAGAATACGAAAACATTGGTGAATGCCACAAATTCTCCTAAATCACTCGTACGCACAACTTAAGAACAAATCTGTTCGTACGAACGGTTCTTGCATGAGGCCCATTGTTCCTGACGTGTTCTGATCCAACCGCAGAATCCTGTGCGGACACACATAGTTCTACAAAGGTCAAAGGTTTTAATGACACCTGCGTCCAAACTCATCTTTAATACATGTGGAGCAGCAGCACGTCTTCAGGGAACAGATTTAAAATAAAGACAGAGATTCACAAGAGAGCCGAGCTGGCCCGTCAAAAACCCGACTAAGCAGGGACAGACAGACAATACACACCTCTTCCAGGATGAAGTAGGCCTTCACAGATTGAGGTCAAAGTGCAATGCTATAGTACTGCTTGGAGGAACAGATGAATGAATGAAACTAAGGAGTTTAACCTCTGACCTCTATGGGTCAGGCCGGAGTTAAAGAAGAATGAGAGTTAGAAACATCGACGGTCAGATAAGCAAAGTGACAGATGAAGAGGAGGAGAGAGAAAGGCAATGAGGAAGCAAAGGAGAACACACAATGTACAACACAACAGACTGAGGCACAATTGGAAAGTGTGAAGTGACAGGACAGACACTTAAAGGGCAAAAGAAAGGTTTTAACAAAAAAAAAACTTCATGACAGGGAGAAGACAGCAGATGAAAAATAATTAGGATTATAGTGTGGAAGCTTCAACTAAAAAAAGAAAAAAAGAAAAAATGTAGCAAAGAAAACTAGAAGAAAGAGAGCAAAGGAAAAAAACGAGAGAGAGAAATGAGAGGGAAAGCAAAAAACAGGGAGTATAGTAAAGGAGAACCTCTGAAAACACAAGATGTAGAGACTTAGGCACTCAAAGCTTGCAGCATGCCTGCCTGCGTACAGTCCCACGAAAAGAATGAGACCGAGCTGGAAGGCGATAGAGCTGGAGAAGAAAACCAGCACAACAAGAAGTAATGCCTAGAAAGGAGCCAATTGTTTTGCTTGCGGAGAGAAAAGAGTTCCCTTGGCTTTTGACGAACAAGGATAAGCCTCTCTGCAACAGAGAATTGAAAAGTGGGGGGGACGGGTGGATGAGAGGGAGAAATAAAAAAAAAGGGGGGAAGAGGCGGAGTGGTAGCTTTAAGCCTTACAGGAAAAAAAATGACTGAATCAGCAGGTAACTGGTGGCTTTTACACTTGTTTGATTGGCAGGAGATAATGGGGGCAAGAGGAGGGGGAAAGCAAAAGGGCTTTATTGGGAGGTAAAGTGGCGAGCCCTGAGATTTTACGTCTCTGCCCAAAGTTGATCTATATTCACACATATTGGACTTTTAAAAAGGAAGGAAAGGGAGGAGAACAGGACCAAGTTTTAATGGATTCAGAGAGTAACTCAGAGGGTAAAAAGTACAACAAGTCAAAACGAGAAAGGCTAAGAGCAAAGAAAGCAGCAGCTATAAATGATGTCATGTTTTTGGATTTGGACTGCACGACAAAAAGTTAAACTATTAACTGACTGATTAAAACACAAGCACACACATTTGTGCATCTCAATGAAGAGCTCAGCGGGTTTTAGATTTTATTCTGGGAGTTCTAAGATACAAAGCAACTGTTATCTATTTGTTTAAAACTGTAAAATTTCTCGACACCTTCTGCTCCAGCATTGAGTTTTACATGTTCCTCTTTAAGTGTCTGCACACAAAAGACCCAGCATTGTACTCCAGCTTCCCAAAAAGGTAAAAGGAGTTCAGTCGTGCAGATATTCCATGATTAAAGGGCCAGCATTTCTTAAAGGGATGCATGTCACCTGTTGCTTTTTTGCCAGAGATATGATGAGAAGAGATAGTCATTTTAATCAAACCTTGTAAACGACACAATTGTACAAATTCTCGCAAGATCTGCAAGATCATTGTATGCGTAATTAATGACTGTGAAATATGGCCGCACATTTTAGCTTAATATCTATCAAATTAAAAAGATTTAGCCATTTATGTGTTTGTTAAAATAGCTGTGCTGGCCATATTGAATTGGGTGACTTCAAAAGTTAATCAGTTGGAGATGTACGTCCTATTACTTTTTTAAAAATTGGTCAAATTGGGATGTTTCGTCAACAGACCAACAGGACTGACGTCAACAGATCATGCAAAAGTTTTGGGCGAGATTGTCCTGCATTAAGTAGCACTCAGAGTTTGTATTGTGAATAACTCTCAGCTAAAATCACCACAAATCTTAGCTCAGTGTCTGTAAATTTGTACATTGTGTTTCAAAAGGCCTGTTGGCTGAGGCGGCCATCTTGAATTGCCATCACTCATCCTTTATAGATGTACATTGCAGGTAAGTTTCATTAAAATCTATCCCATTACTGTGTTTTTCTCTAGTGTTAGCACTAGAGAAAAATACAATTTCACAAGAACAAACACAGAGGCAAAAACATTATTGACTTTAGAGGGGGGCTATAATTATGACCCCCGCACACAAAGCTTAAGCGGGAGTCATATTGTTTTAGTACTGTTTATTTTTTATTTTTTTATTTTTTTTTCAGTGATTTTTGGTCAACCGTAGCACAAAAACGGCTGCACCGGTCAAGATGAAATTTGGCAGGACCGTAGATGAGTCTGACCTACACTGCACCAGCCAACGGTTTTACGATAGACCCCATATTTGAGGAGGGGGCTCCTTTCAAATTGAGGGTGTCAGGACATGCAAAAAATGCTTATAACTCAGAAACTCTTCAACATAGGAGTTTCAGATTTCTTTTGTTCTTTAGCTCTGATGAAGCTCTATCCATCAGGCCCACAATCAGTCCCTCCCACCCCCCCGGACCCCCAATTTATCTGAAAAAGTGGTAAAGTGGTATCTGGACATTCAAAAATGGTTATTGCTCAAAAACTATTAAACATAGGAGCTTCAGATTTTCTTTGGTTGTTTAGCTCTGATGAGGGGCAATGCATCAGGTCAACCAATGCCCCACCTCCCCCTCCAAAAAAAAGACCCCCTCCCAAACCACTACAATTTCGGAATGCACCTAGTAGCATGACATTTATTAGGAATAAAGACTTCTGAGTTCTGGTGCATTTGTGCGTGCGGGGGTCATAATGTTATCGCTATGTGGTATCTAGTTATATAAATGATTTGGATGAAAAGGTGGGACAACAAACAAAATCTTAGGCAGCTCTGGAAAGTCATATTATCCATGAGCTTGAACTTTGATCTTTGTGTTTTTGAAAACAAATTACAAGTGCCTATCTATACAAATTGATAGGATTATGGTTTTGAATAAACTTTAGTTTAATGTTGACTAAAACAGTTGGTGTTCTGAATACAACCTTCACAGCTGAAGTTAAAGCATCCATAAACAGCATTTGTTGCCTTCGCACGCACTACAGTGGAGTTTCTAAAAAGTTGGATGTAACCTTACAGCAGTCCAAGCTTTAATTTCAAACAAAATCTGACTGCAGCCGCTCCGTTAAAAGCATTGTTGTGTTTTGATTCAGCTCAAATATTTAGTAACAGGAAGCCTAGAAAGAGCAGGTGACGCATGGGGAGCAGGGCAAAAAAAAAGACAGGCTTTGACAAATAATACCTGGACTGGAACCGAAAAATGAAACAATTCAGTAAAAGTTGTGAGTTTTTACCTACTGGGCTCACTGTGTTTGGGTTTATATAAAAGAGCAGGTCAGCAAGACATGCCTCATTTCACCTGAATACTCCGTAAGTTAAAGACTGGAACAAGCCAGACCACCTATGGTGAGAAATGTTTAGCGTTATAATTCTGAAAACCTTATCTAAAACATAAAACTATCAAAAGAAAACTCAAATGCATTGGAAAAATTTACAAAAAAATAAAAACAAAACTTAGTCATCCTAAAAGTTTTCTGATGCAGACATTCTCCACTTTATAAGCAACTCAGAACTACAGTATTTGTCGTTGGTCTGTAGTCAGTCCTTGCAACAGGAGCAAATGAAGTCTGCAGTCTCACATAAACACACAAACTTGCACAATATGCAAAGTAAAGCAGCTACAAGCCAAAAGTTACTGAAGGTCTTTGTAGCTTTAAGCTGAAACAAGGTGAAACAGAAAGAGTGAGACAACTTGAGGCAGAGTCTCTGGCTGATTTGAAAGAAAGTGAGTGAATGAAGAAACTGAAGCCCTCAGCTGGTTACTGAATCTGAGCCATCTGGCTCAGCACGGTGGAGGGAAAGTTTCCCAGCCTACAAACTTGTGGCCAGTCGTTGCTCTGTCTGGAAGAATCATTCGTCAAACTTCTAATGGAAAAAAGTGAGATTTTTCTTTTCTGATCAAATCTGATCAGTTGCTTTACAAAGTGCACGAGCTTCGCTCCAGTCCAGGTGTGAGCCGAGACCCGTCTTTATTATAACACCGCTGATGTATTCAGCTCGGTCCGCATTCAGATGACTGAACTGGCCTCGTCATGGATTCAATAAATGTGGTTCAGGAAAGGAAGGGATTTAAAATGCCTCGCTGTGGTTCCTCCGTTTAATCCTTCAGCTGTAAAGACAGAAACCTGAGACGACGAAGAAGCCACTACAGTAAGGGCAGCCTGCTGGTCACTGCTAGCCTGCCATTAGATCTGCTCAAATCAGAAGCTGCAGTAAATCAAGACCTTACAGAGCTGCCTCTGGTCTCCTGACTGGATCTCATCCAGAGAGCTCTCAGAGGAAACACAGCTCACTCCGCTAAATGAAAGAACAGCACAGATTCAAACAAGTCTGAAAAAAAGTTCAATAAAAAGCAGTACTTAGGGGAAATTTAGATTAGCTAGAAAAGAGTTCCTGACAGACTATTTTAGACAAAAAAGGCAAATGTTTTTATAGAAGCGCTTTGGGAACAATTCGATCATTTAAACTTACCTTCCCACCTGCTCTCAGAGTTCAGAATGTTCCAGGTTGGGATCAGAATCCACCTGAGCCCAGCATCCGTTTGACAGAACTGATGGTTTCCAATGTGTAACTCCACTTTGGCTTTTTAATTCCTCATTGTTTTTTCCAAGTGAATTCGAAATAATAATAAAATCACCCCACATGAGACAGAACTTCTATCTATGCACGCCTGCACACAGAGAAATCCTTGTTATTTGTTTCCATATTATCAAGTTTACGGAATTAAAATGTCTGAATTAAAAAAAAAGTTATAGAATCACAGATTTGAATAAAAAAAAGCCAATTTAAAAAAATTGAAAAGAAGCATAAAACAAAATTCAAAATTTGTATGAATTCCTGCAAGAATAAGTGGGAAATGAAATATCCGTAATTCCAGTGAGGGGAATGGTGCCTGGAGGGGCAACAAGAGCAGCAGTGAAGTCCCAGTGTGGTGCAAAAGAAAAGTTCAACAAGTCTGTAAAAAAAAGTCCAATAAGCAGCTGGAAGTTAAAAAGCAGCGCAGTGAGATGTGAGTATTCCCCTGACTGCAGTCAGCTCCACTGATGAACGGCTGCACTTCAGCTCCACTTAGAAAAACACACAGCACCGTGCACACACATAAAACTCTCCTTAACACACACACACACACACACACACACACACACACACACACACACACACACACTAGGAGTTCAAAACACACACAGAGTGGAGCAGAAATGCTCAGAGGGAGAGAAGGCTTGAAAGAATGGATTTAATTCAAGAGGAGAGAGAACGAGAGGGAGAGAGGAATGGAGGGAGGAGGAAAAGGTGGGAGGTGAGAGGAGGGGCGTGGAAAGGGCCTGGGTGTTGTTCTCAGCCTCCAGAAATGATACTGCATAATTAAAACTGTTTCTTTTTTAGTCTGTGATTGCGCATGGTGACTTTAACAAATCTTTACTGAAACTAAACGAGTTCAAGAAGCTCCCTTCACAATATAGACTTGAAAAATCTGCAACAACTGTTCGATTTTCTCCAAACTCTGAGAGCTGAACTGCAATTTTTTTGAGGATTTCAAATGAACAGTTCTCCCGACACATTCTCATCACAGTGTCAATGTTTCCGTTGTTTCACGTCTTCTTTCTGTCCTTAAAATCACATCTCTTTGTAGCTTCGACTGGCATAAAACTAGACCAGCGCGTGAAAATAAAATAAAGCAAAGGAGGTGCGAGGTGTCTCCGCTCTGAGAGTTTGGCTACCTCACATTTGTCTGGCTTTTTGGAAGAATTTTCAAGTACATCGACACATCTCTAACTGATATCGCCTGACAAATACTGTGAGTGAAATTTCGCTAGAATCACCTCAGACAGTGTGACATGCTCAGCTCTCTTTTATCAAAACTTGGAACTCGGCTGTAATCACTAGAAGACACGACTTGACACTTGTTCTGACTGACACGGGGCTTATCTCCAAAATCGTTGTATATTGATGTAATTAGATAACAGAGCCGTTTGGATAAAAATCAGTGTAAACAGACAGACTGACTCCCACTGACACCACTCTGGTTGATGAGCTAATCTGCGTGCAGTACGAGGGTAATTGGCAAGTATTTATGGCGTATGAGGGTTTACATCATCCTGTGCACATATCTGAGTTGAGCTGCAGGTCAACCATTCATCATGCGCAGAAGCAAAACATGTAAGCTAAGAATAGGGGGACGTTTGTTCAACAACATTATAAAGTAACTTCATGACATCACATGAAGGCCCCTCATGTGTGCTCATTACCACGGGCCGGCAGTGATAAAATCTGAAAGTTTTAAAGAATCTTCCCAAAAGATTTGTAGATATATGGTCTGACCAATACTTTTTTATTTTCACATAATTATTGATTAAATAAAGCACTGAACCAATTTTGAGTATTTTAAAGCCATTGCAAACCAACCATGACTCATGAGCTTACAAATGCAAAAATGCAGAGTGAATGCTTAATGTTGAAAGATTTTTGCTAAAAAATTGCCTCAGTATCTTTAACTTAATTCAGGTGAAAGTGAAAGAACTTAAATCAGCACAAAACAGATGCAAACATGGTAAACAAGGCAAAAAGTCTCTAAAAGTAGCAGAAACAAGTTGAAACTAAGTGAAAAAAGTTCCCAATCAGAATAAAACAAAATAAAACAAAGAAATTATAATCAAATCAAAAAGAAAAAAAAGTATTCTGCTGTTTTAACTAAAATAAAGGAGTGTAAAAGATGTCAATTTAGCAGAAAATCAAGAAAAGAAATACAAAAAACTTGCAATTGGTTGTAAAATTGCAAAATCAGACAGAAATAGTACAAAAAGCTCAAATCTAGCTGAAAAGGGTGAAATTAGGTAAAAGGTGCTAAAGGAGCATGTTTGCTTAAATAAACAGTAAGAGGCTGAAATAATCCCCAAAAAAGGTGAATTTAGCTGAAAAATCGCTCAACTCAGCTAAAAAGCTAAAACACAAAAAAACAGCTGAAATTCTCAGAAAGCAGCTGAAAGAAGCACAAAAAGTTTAAATTAGCAAAAGAATAGCAGACAGGGTAGAAATAATAGCTAAAAAAGCCAAATTCGGCTTAAAAAAGGCTGAAGGAAGCTGAAATTAACACAAAGAAAGAGAAAAAACAAGCATCAGCAGAATAAAAGATTAAAAGTACAGTAAAGATTTATTTATAGGGGTTTTACAATATTGTTAAGACAAAAATAGCAGAAAAAACTGAATATCTCAAAATTATAATCTGCTGTAATCCCAAAAATCAGAGCAGGAACATCCTGAAGGAGCTGAACATTCTGATGTAAAATTGTTGAAATAGCACAAAAACTGAAATGAGGTTGTGTGCTCTCTCTCCCAGTTTTTTGCACAATGCAAATGTTATCTTCAGTGCTCCAAACACTTTTATATACAATTATATACAATTAAAGCAATACTTAAGCCCACAGGCCACCCCCCCTGCTGACCTGTCTGTCATAAACCAGCCTGATGTCTCTACAGGCTGCGGAGTGAGCTCTGTGATTCGGACAAAGGCCTTTGTCTCAGGAAAAGCCTCTGTGCTATTGAAACAGATGAGGGCTCAGTGTCCTAATAGTCCCCTGCTGAATCTGGGTTTTATTGCGGGTCACTGAAGCGAAATGATCTTTATATTGGAGTGGGATGACCATTAGACCACTGTCTGCACAATCAAGTCTTCCCAGGGGTCGCCTGTTCTGTGTAAGTATTATAAAAATGGATGTTTAACAGTTGGGAATACATTACAAAGTACACAACTTTGACATTTAAACATTTCTCACAAGCAGCTTAGATAAATGAGGCCAGCTGAGTTGTGTTTGTAAATGGAAAAAAGGATGTTTCATAATCAAACAACCAAGACTCACATTGTGGTTCTAACTATTAGAGACATTTGATAAATGTCAATTATATGAGCATGTGTTTCTTTTGACTTCAGTGATGTCATCTTGTTTTGACAAAACTCTGACATGTTTGAAATGAACTAGTTAAACTATCTAATCTACCTGTTTCATAAAGAGATTCTAGTAAAAATCCCAGAACTCTGACATAATCATCTTTGACTTATACAACCTGAGATAATCAGATTTATTTAAATACAAAACTATTTGTTTTTGCAGGTTGAAAACTAAACATGAAAATGAAATGTTTCTTCTTTCCTAAACTATGACATTTATCTGGTCACTGGCTTGCAAATCTAATTATGTTGTTTCTGCAACAACGTGCAGAAATAAATATTAACTAGTATAGGTGAGTAAAAATATTGATTTATTAATGCATTGCAATATATTTTTGTCCAATTCAATATCGATTCAAAAAATCTTCTGATTCAATTTAATCCTGTCAAATCAGCTGTGATTTTACATTTACACTACATATTTAGGGCAAGTATTATTATGCTACAGCTTTATTTTCATATATTTTATTTTTCAAGATGTTAACAAGTAGCACGTTTGTTTATATGGGCAAGAAAATAAATAACTAAAAATTATTCACAGGTACTCTAATGAATTGTTACTTCTTCGTGTTATGAAACTGATATTGAAGCGTTTAAAGCAATATTGAATCCAAATCGAATCAAATTGTGACCCAAAAATTAAAATCAAATTGAGTTCTGATGTTTTAAATGAAATCCAGCCCTATTCAATCGCTCATCTTTTGCAGGGAAACAATCCACTCAGCAGCTTCTGTAACTGTAGTCTGGACACCTTAGTGGAGCAGCCCACCAAAGACCGCCAACGGGTCCAGCAGTCTCTCCAGGAGAAATAGGAAAATAAAGTCTAAATGGATTTTGGCTTCTTTATTTCAACCCAAATAACAGTTTATTAGACATTTAGATTATTTAGTGGATCTGACTGCGTGAATTTCAAAATATTAATGTAGCGTTTACTTGCTTCTGAAGTCGATCTTAAACAAACCACCCAAAATAAAAAGAAAAATACAAGTTCCACAGAGTTGGGTGGTCATGCTTCAGTAGAGTTAATGGTACCACACTGCCTTTAAAAACTGCACCTATTAACATAAATGATGTCGAAGCAGAGTGGTTGCTGTTGGAACAGGATCGCTCAGCAAAAACACTAAGTCCAAGCTCTCATTTAAACTGTTTTTTTTTTCACACGCAGATGTCAAAATGACCTGATGAGATTTTCAGATGAAAATAACCAAAAGAGCATGAGAAGATTTGAAAGTGAAGTTAAACAAACTTGTCTGTAGAGGCATCCTGTCTGGTTAAGAAAAGAGGAACTTGAGACACAACCTTTAAATTCTTAAAGACACTGCCTTCATTAAAAGCATATTTCCTGCTTAACATTTCTCTCTTTTAATCTGCTTTGACGCACAGTTTTGTTTCTTAATATTTGAGTCATAGTGGACAGCCTGAGCCGATTACACTGTGTTGCTGCACCCCGATGAAGAATGCTTTGAAAATCCTGGTGGACAGATGCAAAGTCAGACAAGAGTCTTCAGAAGGAACAGAGGGTCCAGATACTATACGTTATTAACATACTCACTGGCATTATTAAATTATTCTGACTCTGATGTATGTGAGGCCTGCTCTGTAAAAATAGGCTCAACAGTTGCAGACATGAGGGATGTCTGGATGCCATGCCTGTAAATCACAGTGGAAAACCTTTAGATTACAGTATGTATCTGGGAGCTTTGAAGTATGTTTAACCCCTTAACTTTGTTCCATTGGTGGGCAAAAACTGTGACGTTTCTGCCTTTAAATGTTTCCAGATGCAGTTGGGGGCTTTTATTTTGGAAACTAGGATGACAGACAACTTCCTACGGTTCTTACCTTTAGTTTGACACTCTTACAAAAAAAGGCCTTTAAGGAATTTCATGGTAATTTAATTTCACGTATAGTATTATGGAAACTGATCAGTCTTGTCTCGTTATCTAATGAAGACTTCACCTCCTACCTGTGTGTGTGTCCTGGTTGATCTAGGTCAAGAAAATGAAAATGTTTCGTTTTTAGAGATGGATCCAATGTTGGCAATGGCACCTACTGTAGGATTTCTTGAGGCTGACTTCTGGAATTTAATTTTTACAAAAGAAAGAAGAAGAAGAAGAAGAAGAAAAAACAGCCACTATACACAGAAAGACCCCAACACTGTACTATGTGGGACCAAAAGGGACGTCAATGACACGGTCCTCTGACCTTCTGA